ACGCTAAACCTTTGCACTAGAGACGGAATCATCAAAGTCTGCGACGAATTCCCTGGTTTCGCTCGATACAAGATGCACCAGCCCTTTGGTGCCTCCAAACCAAGATCCATTTCGATTCCAAGGTCCCATGCTCGTCATCCGACAGACACCTACCCTGACGCCTCAGAAATAACCATACGCAAAGCTATTGCAGCACTTCTACCCAGATTCAACGACAAGGAGCTTTTTAATCGGGCAATGTGCTGGTGTGCCGATACCGCAGATGCAAATTTGTTGATATGCGAGCATCCTCGATGGAAGGTATATCCTAATTTAATATTTCCGAAATAGATCTCATTGGTTTGAGGTAGAATCTTTTCCTGGCTACCGGAGATAGTGGGTGAGTACACGAAGTCCATCCGCGCCGTATAAGTACAATGTTTACAATCATTATCCCAGTCACTCGTTCAAACTGCTTCCAATCGTAAGTGGAGACAACTTGTCTTGAGTGAAGTATTTACCTGTTGATATCTACCAGATTGGTAAACACGTCGTGGAATTACTGGAAGGAACATTGCAGGAGGACATGCGAGAAGCCTGGCGATGGCGCCCAGGATCTGGAGACGCGCGGAAGTCGAGACGTGCTGCACCAGCGAAAGATCTTGCTGATCTTCCCGGATGGAGGCATGATTCTATATGAGATCCCGGAAATAATCGACGTTATAGAGCTTGTTTCCCAGAAAATTTGTTTCGATTTTCAAAATATTGTGTTTGGAAAGAGTGGGATTGGGATCATGTAGTATAGGAAGCTGTTGCCAGGCTTATGGTGGATATGGAAAGGCGCATGTTCTGAGCGTGATTTTACCACCTTAAAGGACTCTGAACGGGCTGTAGTCATAAGCTGAATATGCCTTGAAACCGCTACTAATATTCCATCCTGACGCTTCAATCATGATTCCGACTTTACGTGTGGAAAATATTCCTTTTAGCACAGTGCAAGCAGTCCCGAGAAGTAGCCTTCTTTAAGCGTTTGGAAATCTGTATGTTGTCGGAAGTCCTTCGTAGAATCGCAACTGTCGTCTTTAATTCCAGAGCTGGGGGCTTTCGATTTGATGGCGAAAGTACCTCTTCACTTTGCGTCTTGCTAGAAACGATTTAAATAGATAGCAAAATCTCGACACGCGGTCATATGTGTTGTTGCATTTCCTGGGCTCGATATTCAGAGGTAAGAAGAAGGAATATAGGAGATGCGATGGCATGCGGCATTGAGATGCGTGAAAGTCAGAGCCGTACCAGGCTCCAGCAAAGGATTTCGAGGGAAATGGCTACAGAATTCGACATTACTTCTTTCCTCTAACCCCGGTAAACTGCCGTTGAGAATAAGATTAGTACCTTGAAGACGAATATAGTTTCCGAGGGTATTCCGTAGGGCTTGACCTAACAAGGGTAAGTAAAGAGCGATTCGATATGCACTTGAAGCTGCTGCCACACTTGCTGTCGCTGACGGCAACATAGACGCAGCTCATGAGACTATGGAAGTAAAAATGTTTAGATCAGTGGCGAGTTTCAAGCCTCTCAATACATATAGCATCGGGATTTTTCATGCACCATGGGTGAATTCTGAGCTCTGCTCAGACCCAATCTTCTGGTGCCGTTTGTCTTTCTTGTGTTTTCTTGGCCAAATATTAGAATTACCTCCCTAACATATGATCTTGATTGACAGCCGGCTTGTTAGGACCCTGACCTCGCACCAGGCCTCATGGTGTGAGTCCTTCGTTCTTATATGCACTCGAGTTATATTGAGTACTCGAGCCTCGGCGCAGTCTTCGACTCAACTGGTAGTCTCAGTCGTCACAATGTCCGACTACAAAAACCAAGACCATTGGTATGTCCAGTTCAGAGATGTGGAAGTGCCGCAAGTAGAGTATCGTAAACTGAGCTGGGGAGCCACCTGTGCGTATACCTACTTTGAATTTTCATGCATTTTCTGAGAGCGGCCGGTTGTAGTCGCGCAAAGCTTGAAGCGTTTCCTGGCTCCGACTACTTCCAAGGCTTTCATGGACAAGGACGTACGTATCTTCGAGTGTATGCGGTGATGATATTGGTCAATGGTTCTTACTCTGGCGAACTTTTCCCAGGATTACTTCAGAAAGAAGGAATTTCGTGATCAGGTTCAGCAGTATAGCGATGTCAGGAAGCGAATCAAGCAACTGGTGAGTCCCATCCCATTAGTTTTGTTTGCGCTCAGGTTTTGAAGCGTCATTGTCTCTACAGTTCCTGGTGTACAGGTCTCACCGTATTGCTCAGCTCACCGAGATCTGTGACAGACTCGGTCTGGCCGAACCTCCTGCTCAATGGGATGACGAAGTTGATCACGTATCGAGCATTCTTCAATTGGTGAGCTTGTGTTCATGGACTCTTCGGCTTGTTCTTATGCTCGCGTCGTTAGTCAGGCAAAACCATCCCCCAAAACTTAGGTGTCTCTTCGTCATTGGTGAACAACACGAGAACCTATCAGGTTATGGAAGCAGTTCCTGCTCCCGACTATCTAGCGGAAGCAGAAAGCAGGTTGTCAGAAAAGGATGTCGAACTCTTGGATCAATATTGCGCCAGCATCAAAAGGACGCGCCTTCTCAAGTCCCATGTACGTGGTGCATTTCTTTCAATCCGCCTGAATGCTGACTAGGACTGGACCACCCTTGTTCCTGTAGCTTCAGGACGTGGAAGAAGATCTGTCCAACTACGCTCATATACTCAATACGCAAGCTACGGCTGAGCTTACTTCTTTCAGAGGATTCCGCGACTGGTGCCAGGTTAGATCGGTCAATAGTTTTCTCATCCTAATGGATCGCTCATTCTCGTGCAGGTCATGTTACAACTCACTGGCACTCTCTCGAACGCACTCATTGCCGTATCAACTCTTGGTGCGGGCCTGGTGTATTCGACTGTCTTCGGGTAGGCAATTTCGTTCTGTTTATGCACCTGATACTGACCCTCGGTGTAAATAGTGCCACAAGGGGCGATGTTGGCCTCATGTGCTATTGCTTCCCGTTCTTCAGCTGTGGCTTTCTCCTGCCCGTCGTTATACAAGTCCTTTTGCAAATGGGCGCCACCTTGCAAAAAGAAGTCAAATTCGCCAGTCAACAGTTTTGGACAATCGTGATTGGGTACGCTCTGGAATCCATTCCTACAACCCCTTACTCAGCCTGACTGACACGACGCAGAATATTCTTGTCCATATCTAGCCTCGCTGTAATGGCTTCCCTAACCATCCTGAACCTTACAGTCTTCTTCCTTAACAAGGACAGTGACGACACTATCTCGCCAGGTGATGAACCCCGCACGCCGATACCAGGAATCATTGCCTTTGGCATAACGGGCTCGATCTTCGTTCTGGTTCTTAGTGGCGCGCTGTTGAGTGTGATTGCTGCAAAGGCGCTCACGACACTTCGGGGAGTGAGAGTGATTGTCTCAGCCATGTATGGAAATGCGGGTGGACATCCGGATGCGTTGAAGGTTTGGGTGCCGGTTTGAGGTGACGCATGTTGTACTAGTGTGTACTAGCAATGATGAAGCAAGGGCTGGGCTTAACCTCCCCTCGTGTGATCGTCCATTATGAGGTAGCTACATGTAAAGACGATACCTGATTCTGTGATGTACTGAGGAGAATCGAGATGAAAGTCAGGGCCCGAACGACTGGACTAGCGTAGAATTTTGACCTGTGATGGGAATACAAAATTCAGCATTACTTCTTTCCTTCTAATCCCGGTAAACTAAACATCTAGGTGCCGTTGAGAATGAAATCAGACGCATTGCAGTATTAAGACGAACCTCAAATATAGTTTCCGAGGGTACTCCCCAGCCCCTCGTACCTTCTACTCGATTATCCATTCTGGTTCCTAGCATAACACCGATGACTGCCCCAGTCTCCTCATCAACGATAGGACCTCCACTAGACCCGGCTGTAGGTAAAGGTGAGAATAAGAGATGAGAAAGAGCGTCATATGTTCCTGGCTAACACGTCTATGGAGTCGAGCAATCACATTCGGATAGCTGGAGCACGCACCATGGTTTCCCTCCCAGCAAAGTCACGATACCCTAATACTGTTCCTCCAGCCCACTTGCTCCAGGAACTCCGAATCCACGGGCTCCATCCAGGTTCTTCTAGATGCTCATGAGATACAAGGTGCCCCAACACCCGAGTACCTGGATGCGCAGGATAGGGGGATACAGGAAGGGTTGTTAATTGGGGGTTTTTACAACTCATGATCATCAAATCGGACCTCGGAAGTGAAGATATGATATCAGTTACGGGGAAGATCCCTTCACTGCATATCACAAAAGACCCTGAACTAACGCGCCTCGATTGGCCGTGAGCAGCGAGCATCAAGGGAGAGCGGCGAATCTGTTTGCGCATAAGATATACCGTAGGATATTTTGGAGATGATAAAGCACCTCCTCGAATGTATGCGCACAGGTAACTACTAAGGACTCCTCCTGAAGCTGAGATGCTGCTTTCAGCGCAAATCCCGACGAAACAGTGACTTTATGCTCATCTCCGTCTTGAATGCAATGTGCGACCAAAAGGACGTTTGCAGTGGGCGAACAGTGATTTATTTTCCGTGGAGTGGACGGCCGAGGTTCATATAAGAGTGAAGCGTCAAGAACGCGTCCGAGTTGCTTAGATACCGGCGGACAAGGTCACTGAGGGATACGTTGTGCTCGCTGGAAGAAGAAGCAGACAGGATTTGCCGATCTAGAGCTGAAGGAATAGTAGGTTGAGTAGTCGTAGATGTCGATGGTTCTTCAGGCGGCGGGGGAAGGCCTCCCAAGTTTATAATGGACGGAGAGACTGTAGCATAAGTATTCCTCAAGTGCGGGGTTAATAAAGGTAAGATTGAGCGAACTCGATGACTCCTCAGCATGGCAGTTGCAGTAGAACGAGTGGTTTTACATAAATAAGTACGCAAGCTTGTGCCTTCATGTGACAACAGAAGTGGGTAGAATTGATTCATAACATCGCCCGCCTAGCTCAATCGGATAGAGCGTCAGACTCTTACGGCGGGTATCTGAAGGCTGCGAGTTCGACCCTCGCGGTGGGCTATTAGTTCGACGGCAAACTTTTTTTTTCCAATTTTTCTTCGTACGCGTCTACCTTTATTAATTGTCATTTGTCAGACCTTGAAGCCTTTGTCTTTGACCTTCCTTCTAGACGACTAGTTCATTTATCTCCTCAGAGATAACAACCAATTCCGGGAAACGAATCTACCAATGTCTCGAATTGGAGTTGCCCGACTTCGCCGTTGGTATGCTAGCTCTCATTGTACAAGTTCCTAGAAGACCATCGAATATATTGCTATGCACCAGCTATTCTAGACTGTGTCAGTTGTTTTCACCTCAGACGGGTGAAGGAAGGATTTTACCCAGAAGAGAAGAATCATCATACCAAATATGAAAAACTTCATCATAACTCGCTCATACACAAGACGGATCGTTTTTTCCTGTGCATTTGATGCAGACCATGCGCTATGATACTCTCACTGCGAGTCTCAGGATTTGATCTCAGGCGCCGGGATCATTGAGGACTAGTCCTGAAGTCGGCGAATTTTTCGAAAAAAACGAATTCAGCGAGCATGCTAGAGAGTGTGTATATGCAAGCAGAGGATCACCTTCTAATGGCGGAGACAACTGAATGCATAGAGTTTTTGACAAGAAAAACATTGCGAGTGGCCAGCGGCATAGTTAGGAGTCACCGACGACAAATCCGTGGAATCCTATTAGGCCCAATCTTGGAAATGCGCCCGGAGTTCATTTATGAAAGACTACGATGTCCTGAGCTCATCTCACGACAACTTGGAGACATATGCTTGGAGTTCCCAGTTTGCAAATTCTTAGTTTCTGAAATATACATGTAGTTGTGCTTCTTGTGCTCTCTAAGTTTCATACAATATGTCCATATCATCATCTACAACAAAACTTCCAAACTCGTATGCGTCCGATTCATCGTCGTTCATCCTGGGTGAGCTTGAAACACCCTCCCTCCTCCGGTTCCCACTCGTCGAGTTCCGTCCAAACGGCGCGCGCCGTATTGGATTGTTGGCAAACCTAGGCCCTGCGCCTCCAGGAACTTGCGTCAAAAGAGATTGACGATAAGCAATAGTCTGATCGTACGAAGGCGACATCTGCGTCTCCGGAAGCTCCTCAAGAAACATCCGGTCCGATTCACTCTCCTCCTCGCTACCAGACGTACCCTCGCTCACTTCGTCTCCGGAATGTTCTGCATTGTAATCAAACAAAGGATTATGCTTGGCGGGGATGAGTAATCTCTTCTTGTGTTTATCCTTCCCTTGGAAGGTTGTTTGGAGGAGCCTGCGGCCGCTATATTACTTTCAGAGGACTCTTGTCGACGATGTAAGCGCCGACGAGCTGGAGCAAGCCCTTCCGATAGAGGCGATGAGTCAGGATGGGGGACAGTTGCCAAGCGCCTTTTACCGACAGGCTTTGGAGCGAAGGTAGGTTCTGGAGCTTCCGGCGATTCCAAAAAACGTGCAGGTAGTGCGGGAGGTGGCATGTCGCTTCTCCTAGTTCTGGATTTGAGTGATGTGGGGAACCAAGACCCATGTCGTATTTGTGAAGGAGGAGGGGGGGATATCTCGTGTTCCACCAATTCTACTGAATCGTCAATCTCAATTAGCTCTGGCGATGAACCACGGGCGTGTGGTACGGCGTCGGAGTCGTCTTCGAGCTCTATGATGGAGTTGTCTGGCTCTAGAGTTTTTCGTGTTGTGCTCATAAGTGGAGATGAGTGGGAGATTTCGAAGTCCAGAAAATCTTCATCTTCATGATCAGAGATCAAATGGGAAAGGTCGCCGTCAATTTGTGGTGACGACTCTTTACGGGGGGATGGGCTAAACAGTGCTTTTGAGGGTGACCTGAAAGGCTCAAAGTTGTTTTGGGGTGAACGTTTCGGTGAATAATTCCAAGATTTTGGCGGTGATTCAAAAGCCTGTTCGAAATTTTCGACTGGTTGCGAGAGCAAGTTATGATATATTCATCTTGAGGAAAGAACACAATCTCACCTTCTGAATCTGTCAATGATAAATAGCCAGCATCTCCATCGACGACAGCCCTCTCAGATGAAGCTTTACGAGGGGAAGGAGTCAAGCTAGTAGGAGAAGCAACAGGTGATATATATTGCCTTGCTTTAGGAAGAACACCATTCTCAATCTCCTTATCATCCGAGTCATCCATGCCTTTAGCCTGAAACTGACTAGCAGTCCATCCCTGCTCTCCCTTTTCTTTGCCCTTCCCTTTCTTCGTCTTCTTTGGCTTGCTAGGATCCAATGTCCTGGATTTCCGCAAAGCGCTTGCGTTAGTCTTTGGCTTCGGATCACTTGATGACTTGGACTTTCTGAGTAGCGAAGGACCAGCCATGACTCCAGCGGCGATTTCCAGATCATCTTCATCATCTTCACCCAAGGCTTCAAAGTTCTTCGGTAGGCGAATCTTCTTCGCCTTCTTCTCTCCTTTCCCTTTAACTACCAAATCTGCAACACTGACGAAGCCCGTGCTCGCTCCTTGAGGTATATTTCGCCCGAAGTCGTCGTTCCTCTTGCGTTTAACACCCCTGGTTGGTGCATCATCGCCCTTAGTTCGTTTTTTTCCGCCCCTCTTCGCGTACATATGGAAGTATCTCCATCTCCTTCTCGAGGCACCGAGGTTCAACGTTGTCCGGAAGTAGACGTTCAACATCAGCGTAGTATTCTAGATGGGACCCATGGATGATTGAGGATTGCACATCTTCGTAGGTCGATTGTGCTTTGTCAAAGTTCATCTCTTCGCGACCGTCGGCGAGGAGAACGTGGACATGACCAGACCGTTTTCGTCCCGTTCGGCCAAGTCGTTGAAGCTGTAAAGACAGTCAGGATCGAATCAGGAGAAAATCAATCCAACATACCATTCGGATTGGAGTCTTCTGGGCGTCATAGCAGATTGCGAGATCTACCTCGCCGATATCGAGACCCTCTTCACCAATGGAGGTCGCAACGAGAACATTAAACTCATTGTTCTTGAATTTCTTGATGACCTAAAAGAACGTGAGCGACTTGATATTGTAACAAAAAGAAGTTGCCGCACCTCCAACTGTTCCCGTTGCGCCAGCCCTTTCTTCCCCTTCTTATCAGTTCCTTGTCCAATGAACGGCGTAGCTCGAATAAGAGGCTTCTCTTGATTCAATACGTCCACAATCTCATCCACCATCGCCCGATGCGTTACGAAAACCATAGCCTTGGTTGCACCATTCCCTTCCTCAGGATCCCCATCCTCACTCATCCTCGCACCAAAGTGCTGCACAATCAGTGTCTTCATCTTCTCCATCTTGGGGTGGATGGAGAACCCTTGTGCATTCTGAACGCGGATTTCTGCCATGATGCTGAGAAAGGCCGGGTTGGTGTGGATTTTCTTCTTTCTTGTTTCAGCTGCCTTTTCGGAGGGTTTCATGCCCTCGCGCTCATCATCGCGATTCCGAGCGAACATCTCAAGTTCGTCGTAGCATATCTTGAGGGACCCTTCCATCTAGTACAAGAGAGGCGATGAGTTACACCCGAACGCGCAGAGATGAACTCACGAGGTATCCCATGAACCTAGCGAAAGTGGACAAGACCTGAAGAGCACCACATAAATGCCTCTGGTTTTTCTCCAGGGTTCCCATGCGAGCTTGTGGAGCGTATGGATGCATGCGAATGAAGTTGGGTTGTCCTCTCCAGATATTCGCTACCGACTTGAACGATTGCTAGAATCACGACGTCCTGAGTAAACGAGCAGCTCGAAACGAATGGACGACACATACGTCCATAAACTTGACAAGCAAATCTCTGATTTGAATAACCTCCGGACTCATTTGAATGATATGTTGTTCGATTTTCTGAGAAGAGCTCGTTAGCACATGGGTTCCAAAGATACAAGATACAAGAAACACCTTTTCGTGATTATAACGCGCCAACTCTCGCTCATCTCGGATTTCAATGCGACTGATATGTAAACCGTCAATCAGAGTCTGAACGGCTTCAACGTTACTGCCAGGAGTGGCGGTAAGAGCCAATACTCGAAAATGGGGGTTCTTGGCCATCATAAAGCGAATGACTTGGTTGTAAGCGTAATTGCCTGATGCACGATGGGCTTCATCTGGATTCTAACATTGAGCTTTGTTCGACGTACAACACTTCACACGGACCTACGACCAAGAGTACAATGTCTTGAACATCGCAATTCTCCGACTGTAGATCGTTTATGAGGGTTTGTGGTGTCATGTAGAATACGCGTTTCTGTGCCCACTGATTTCAAAAGTTATATCGGCGGAAGGAAAGATGGAATTGAGCAGCGCACGAATTTATTTCTCGTTGTCTTTGGAATCTGGCCCGTTAGTTCCACTGCATCAGTACCTGGAATACCACAGGCCTCATGACAAGCCTCGATTTGTTGCGCCACAAGCGGTTTTGTGGGAGCAACAAAGACTACTTTTCCTTCAGGGAACCATCGGTAGTCTGGATATGTTTGTGAATGGAAACTGGTATTTATTGCAAGTGAACTCACAATTCAGCATGACTACTCCGGCAATAAAGGTCTTGCCTAGACCTGTTGGAAGGGCGACAATAGTATTCTCAAAGAGGCTATTCTTGACAATGTCGAATTGGTAGTCACGCTTTGGTCGGTTCAGAGGAAAGATCCAATGTTTAGCCTCAAGAAGATCGGGTTGGATCTTCATGGGAGGAGGCTACAAGATTGTGAGACCAGAAGGGTAACGGCTGACAGCGAGTCACTTACTGGACTGGAGAAGAAAGTGATTCGAGTATGAGACTTCTGAATTCCCAGCAACGATCCTTGACTCACCCAACTAGTATTGAAGTTAGAATGGTTTATTGACGAAAGGGAGGGTATACGCACGAGATACAAATGGGGCAGGAAATTGCTCAAACTCAAACTCTTCTTCCTCCTCCTCATCCATATCATCATCGTCTCTCTGTTTCTCCTTTCCTTTCGGCTTCTTGACTCCAGTCTTGGCGAACGCAGTATGATCCCACTGTTTAGTTTTTCGTGGTTCCGGG